TGCTGGCTCTTCAGCTTAGTAACAGAGATGAGCACCGCCTCCTACAGTTGGACACGGCTTGACAACTTTGTCAACAGGGAATACCTTTATCTTTTTATTATTTATGTATTTATTAATGTAACCAATACATGAATACATTTATTAAATAAATAAATAAAGTTTAGCATGAGATGAGCCTTCAGCTCAACATTGACTTCATTTTAGGTCAGCAGTGTGGATGCAGCCAAGGTCTAAGAACTAGGATTGTTTTATTAACAGACGTGAGATGCCACCTAATACCTATAGACCAGCATTCTGTTAGTGACTGTTGTTGTTGTTGTCATTGTTGTTATATGTGTTCAGGTTGTTTCTGACTTATGGTGACCCTACCATGGCATTTTCTGGCAAGATTTTTTTCCTAGGAGATTTGCCATTGGCTTCCTCTAAGGCTGAGAGAGGGTAACTTACACTGAGTGGGCTTCCATGGTTGAACAGGGATTCAAATCTGGTCTCCTAGTGACTTAGGGTGTTGTTGCAGTTTGCTAATGAAAGCAGTTTGACACCTTTTTAACTGTCATGTCTCTATCCTACAGAATCGTAGGATTTGTGGTTTGGCGAGGCACCAAATCTCTCTGACTGACCATGCTGAATGCCTCACCAAATTACAAAATCCTAGGATTCTGTAGGATCGAGGCATTTAAAATGGTGTCAAACTACTTTAATTATGCAGGGTGGCTACACCCATAGTACAACACTCAAACCATGACACCGTGCTGGTTCTCACAGTTTATCTTTGCTGGTTGTAAAATTCTGAACTTTTCAACAAAGTGTGGACAGGAGAAATTCTACAGGGGTGGGAGGATTTGATCCCCACTAATTCCTATTCTTTTTGCAGCTGCTGTTGCTGTCACTTTGGATTTTATAGTCCTGCTGGCTGCAATTGCTATAGGAGGTAGAGGCACTGAAAATGTGGATCAAAGTGACATTAGAACATCACTAGATCCACTGTGAGAACACTGTATTTCTTCCAAGAAAACCAGTATGAAAGTCCTAAGTAGGTGAATGAAAAGAAAGCTTTATGGACAGGGACATTGCTAGGAGTTCTATGGAGGAACAAATCAAAACGGGTGACAGCTCAGGTAAACACTTGGTGGGACAGTTACTTTGTCCATCCCAGCATCTCCCTTTGCTAGTTGAGATGGTTTCAACTGTCGTTTGTCTGTAGCTCACTTCATTTTTTGATTTTATTGTTTTATTGTAACGTATTGTTTGTTTGGTTTTAGACTGTATTATGTTTTAATCTCTTAAAGTTTAATCTTGTTTTAGGGTGTGGGAGGGGGGTTATGGGGATAAGGCTTTTTTTAACTTTGTATGTTTTAAAATGTTGTAACCCGCCCCGACTGCAGAGCAGAGGGGTGGGCTAGAAATAAAAATTTATTATTATATATTATTATACCCCCCACAACCAGCCAGGGCACCACTATAAAAAGAAGGAGGGAGGGGCACTGAAAAATGCCTCTTGTTTTTTTATTTTTATTTTTATTTCTAACAAAATTCCAGAGTTAGGGGAGGGATTTAGTGCAACAAAGATGAAAGAAAATATAGGAAACTGGGGAAAAAAAGAAAAGAAAATCAGCTTGCTTAGAAATAGCAAGGAGGAGTGGGAGAGAGGAAAATATGACACCACATGACTGTCAAATCTCTGAACTGCTGCAGGAGGTACTCATCACACCAGAGGACTAATGGCACAGCAGTGCAATTGGAAACTTATTGATAGGTGACATCATGCAATAAGTATTTCCACAGATGCTATTTTCCAGCTTTAATAGTGGTTTAAAAGCCACATCTGATAAAGTCTTAAATTGTGTTTTGTGTTTCTTATTATTTATGTTTTCTACTGGTTTAATTTTTTTTAGATAATCTAATCATTTCTTAAACTTGTGTAGTCTGTGAAATTTTAATTATGTTTTTCTAATCTGTTGTGAGACCCTTTGAATCCTAAAGTGGGGAAAAGGCAGGATATAAATAAATGGAGGAGGAGGAAGAAGGAGAAGGAGAAGCAGCAGTTGTTTCATGAACTGTTATTGTTGGGGCTTTGGAGGATTCTATCATTTCTTTGGATGCCTACACTATGCTCCTTTGCAATAGTAGAAATTCAGGCAGTAAAGAAAAAAATAATTTGAGGGGTGATAATTTTTGTTTTGTGGGGTTATGCTCTTATTTGCTTCCCCATTGCTGCATCTCTGGTCACAAGGCATGTGCATTATGAGAATGAGAAGTGCTCTTAAAATGTGCATTGATTGTGTCTGCTGAAGGAATGAATGCATATCTAGTACTTGTATCTCACTTGGTATAATAAAAATCTATGCGTGGTTTACATTAAAATGCACATCTAAGCAGTATGAAAACAACCTAAAAGATCAGTTTTTAAGTAAAGCTCTCCAACAAAAACAAAAAACAAAAAAACAAAAAAGAGCAGTCATATCTTCTGGGGAAGACCTATGTCAGAAAACATGTTCTTAGGAGATGTTTGAAACTACTGTATATACTCATGTACAAGTCTAGAAATTTTAGTCAAAATTTGACCCAAAAAACCTGAATCAACTTATCCATGAGTCAATGTAAATACTGTAGCACTGACCCCACTCTAATCACTCATCCATACAGCCTTTAGTATGAGCACAAACATGCCTGCTGGAGTTTTTGTAACTTTTTTGGCATTGTTTTCCTTTGCTTCATCCTTTAGATCAGAGGTAGGCAACCTTTCCCCTTTAAGGGCCGAGGGACTTCAGCTCCCAGAATCCCAGGAGCTATTGGCCAACATGGGACTATTGGCCAACATGGCTGAGGCGTCTGGGAGATGAAGTCCCTCGGCCCTTAAAGGGGAAAGGTTGCCTACCCCTGCTTTAGATCCTTTGTTACATGCCCCTAAGTTTTACCCAACTTATCCATGGGGCATGTCAAAATCCATAATTTTGGCCCCCAAATCTGCCCTTGACTTATACATGAAGTCAACTTATAGTTGAGTATATATGGTGAATATGATTTATACTTCTTGAACCAGAGGGTCCTACTGGAAAGGCCTGTCTTTTATGTTATATAGTGGCATTCCTTTGGGTATAGAACAACCAACAGTGCCTCCCTTTAGCTTATTAGGTATTACTGGGCAGTAGAGCAGAAATAAAGAAGCTTGACACTGCTTTAACTGACATGGCTCTACCCTATGGAATCTTGGGATTTGTAGTTTGTTGTTACACCAGAGTTCTCTAACAAAGAAAGCTAAGTATCTCACAAAATTACAAATCCCATAACTCCTTAACATTGAGCCATGGAAGTTAAAGCAGTGTCAAACTGCATTATTTCCATAATACAAATTAGACCCTGGTTATTAACAGCCCTTCTCAGACACTCGGGGTTGTGGCTTCTTGACTCTGTCCACATGTAATGTGATTTTTTTCCCTCTGGCCTTCTACTGGGCATGATATCATATTTTCCAATGAGTCGTTTGATTTCATGACATGTCCAAAGTATGACAGCCTCGGTTCAGTCATGTAGGCTTCTAAGGAGAGTTCAGGCCTAGTTTGCTCTCAGACCAACATTGGACATTCCATGCTTCCTTTCTGTCTTCCACTGTAGTTGCTGCTCTTCATGAGAGCATACCCATAGCTTTCCCAAGACACTTAGGGGGGTTGCAGACTGCCAGAAATAGTGCAAATTTGAGTCCACTTTAAGGGTTAGGGTCAGGGTTAGGGTTAGGGAATCATGGGAACTATTTTATTGTGGCACCAGAGCTCTCTGACAGAGAAGGCTCAATGTCTCAGAAAAAAACCAATTCCCATGATTCCCTAGTACTAACCCTAACCCTAAAAGTGGACTCAATTTGCACTATTTCTGGCAGTCTGCAACCTCTCTTAATCTCAAGGGAGAGGGAGGGAAATGGGAGAGATGAAAGGGTGCCACATACAAAAGAGGTTTCATCCTTAAGGCCAAAACCCTTCTATGTATGCAGTGGAATTTCAGACTTGTAAAGGATGAGTTCTTCTAGGCCTTTTCTGTCTTTCCTGTTTGAAAGTTAAGAATGATACCTAATAGATCTATCCTGTCTTGTCTGACCCCCTCATCACTGCTGTTCCATGTTACCCACATGCACACACATGCAGGGAACATCTGCTTAGAAAGAGTGACAGGGGAAGTGGCAGGGAGTGCTGTAACTAACTCATATCCTTATCATACTACACTGCTATAACTCTATATTCTACTTTATTGTCATAGCAACATCCTATGGAATCCTGGGATTTGCAGTTTAGGGAGGGGCATTTAGAATTCTCAGCCAGAGTGCTATTGGGTGTCACTGAACTACAATCTCAGAATTCCACAAGAGGCAGCTATAGAAGTTAAAGTGGAATATAGTTTTATAACAGCACAGTGGATAAGGATATCAGTAACAACTAGACCCAGTTCACTTGCATTTGGTTTATCCAAAGACTTCTGAACTGAAGTAGTTCAGTCCTGTAACACCTGAGTTCTTAAACCATTGTTGTCGTTGTGTGCTTTCAAGTCATTCCCAGCTTATGGTGACCCCTAAACTGAGTCTCCAGGGAGCTCTGATGGCGCAGTGGTTCTTTAGCCATTCACAGCCACAATATTGTGAATTCGATACCAGGCAAGGCTCCAGAGTCCACTCAGCCTTCCATCCTTCTGCAGGTCACTAAAATGAATAGCCAGCTTGTTGGAGGCAATTATTTTACACATTGTAAACTGCTTAAGGAGTGCTTAAGTGCACTGATAAGTGGTATAGAAATTTACTTGGTATTGCTATTGCTAAACTATCATTGGAAAATAGCTTTGCAAGAAAATATTGGAAAGGTTTGTTCAGGGAAGATTTGCCAATGCCTTCCCCTATGGCTGAGAACATGTGATTTGCTCAAGTTCACCCAGTGGGTTTTATGGCCAAATGGGGAATTGAACCCTGGTCTCCAGAGTCACAGTCCAGCACTCAAATCACTACACCATATTGGCTCTCCTCCATCCCCATCACTTAAATGTATTTCATAAACCCAGAGCAGGGTCTCCCATGCAGCGTGGAGAAGATTTCCCCTTAACTGGCAGACCATGAAGGGTGAAGAACTGTGTCCCACCTGGATAGCTCCCACTGCTACTCCATACAGGCATGCTCTCCAGGAACGGCCATCATCCCTCCAAAGAGTGGGTGGTGGTAATGGCAGACAACACAGTGGTGTGCTTGTGTTTGTATGTGAGTGTTTGCATCCTCTGATATGACACTGCTGGGGAGGTCTGACTTTTCCTTCTACCTCAGGTGTCTGGATTGCCACTGCTGATTGTCTCTTCTTTGCCACAGAGAAAATGGGACCACATTTTGGCTTTTAGAGCAAGGGAAAGGTAACTAGAAATGTCAATACTCCAATTTACTTTGTAAATCAGCCTCTTTTTTTTGGCTCAACTCAATATATTTGGCAGACTGGGTACCAAGGAGACACTGTGTTATAATTGCACAGGTGCTGGAGGTCAGGATTAAGGTGCATTTGTGGCAGACAAGTTTGCTTTGTTCCAATCAATGTTGTTCACTACTAAAGCCAGCCTCATTAATCACCCCTTTTCAGAGAAATAAAATTCATGCACCAATTTACAATGACTAACAGTAAGGAAGACTGCAATCATTCCCAAAGGGAAGGGGGGGCTACTTTGTAGCAACAGTGATGTCCAATGCTCTGCTCTTCATAAGTATGTTTTAAGACCATGATGTTTTGCTAAGCAAATGCTTTATACCAGACATAACATCTGCTAGGTCTATTACATATTCATGTTTAAAATGGGATTAGTCACTAGGCCTGTATAAATGAGAAAAAACAAAAGAGAACACCAAAGCAAAATTAACACATTAATGGCTCCCTTTGCTTTATTTTCCTCCCAGTGAACTGTGACCTATGCTCAAATTGGTTTCTTCAAGTGCTGAGAAGTGAGTTCATGTCAGATTTTGGTGGGGTTCCATTTTTAAACAGAAAGTTGCCCATATGTCACAGTTTACATCTTTGTCTGACTAGTGTTCATGTTGAGAATTTAGGATTGTGAAGAATTGTTGCTGTGGATAGGGGTGTGTGTTTGCTTTGAAATGAAGACACATGAGTCAAATGTAGCCTGTTTTGAGTTTGTTTTCCAGTTGTTCAGGGTGAATCAGTGCAGAGAAGAACACACGAGACTCCCCTCTGTACTCTTTCATTTCTTGGTATGCAGAAGGAAGACTACTGTGTATCGGACAGATAGAATGACATGCAACATTGGTTGATTGGTTGATTATATTTATAGTCAGCCTTTCAACCCCAAAGTTTTCTAGAGTGGGTTATGATTTGTAGGTTTGACAGTTCTGTGCCAGCATACTTAGGATCTAAATAAGATACAACATACAAAGAAAAGAGATGGTGGGGTAGGAATTAAGTTCCTCAGTTCTGCTGTCCTTCCTCCTGCATGGAAGGGGCATTGCCAGTAGGAACATGCTGTAAGGGGCTCGCACCAGCTGCAGGGGCCCAACCATAATGGAGGTATGCTTGTCTGTTCTCCTTCTACTTGATACAACCAGCCTCTTTTTCCCAGCAAATGATGATTTGAAGCAGGAACTCTTGCAGGGTCCTGATGCAACTCTTTATTAAACCACTACTCACCAGTGAGAGTGTGATTTTAAAAGCTAGGTGGCTTTTAAGATCATATCATCTTCATTCCCTATCACCATGTATAGATGTGAGAGCTGGACAGTGAAAAAAAATGGACAAGAAAAAAAATCAGTTCATTTGAGATGTGGTGCTGGAGAGGAGTGCTAAAAATACCGTGGACAGGAAAAAACAAACCCTCTCCAAATAAAAGGATCCTAAACTGAGGCTGTCATACTTTGGCCACATCATGAGAAGACATGACTCACTCAAAAAGATAGTAATGCTAGGCAAGGTGGAAGGCAGGACTACAAAACTTAAGCAGAGCAGTAGAAGATAGGGCAGCTTGGAGATGTCTCACCCACAGGGTCACCATGATTTGGGGCTGACTTGATGGCAGCTAACAACAACATTTTCAGTGTCCCACTCTTTGGCAATTCAGAACTCCATTTCTCAGTGCAGCTGGTTGGTTTTTAAGGTGGGGTACAGGAGTCAGATCAGGAAATGATATTGCAGCTATACCTCAGATGCAGGATCATAGCCCTAGGTTTTTTAAACCTAATTGATTTTATCAGAATTTGCACATGTTATATAATTTGAAAATGTTTTAAGCTGTTTTAACTGATTTCAGTTGTCTTATTTTAAATGTCAAATTATTTAGTATATTTTTAGTCTGTTTAAATTATTTATTTACTTGTTTACATCATTTACTTTGGTTAAACTGACTATATTGTATGCTGCTTTGAGACTGTGTGACATATGGCATCATATAAATATTTAAATCAATCAATCAATAGGGTCTTTGCTGTCTGTTAGTCAGAGGCAACAATTTGCATCATTCTGCATTTTTCACCAGTTGTGTTTCATGGCATAATAGGGTTTTTTTGCTGACTTACTACTGAGTTCATGCAGTTTTAGAGTGGCTTTGCAGCACTTTGATTCAATTAACACACAGCTTTTTAGGCAGTGATGAGTTGTGAGCTGGGGTGAGATAAACATTTTGTAATGTTGTTTGCCCTAGTCTGTATTTGCTCCAGATTTCCCAGAACATTTCATAATATATCTTACTGATAAGAGATGTCTTTGATTATTTCCTCCCATTTCTACAATATGATAACCAATTATTTCTTTCACCAAATGCAGCCGTCTCTGAGGTATATCCATATCTGTTCCATGGAGCTCTCCAGGCTAGTCCCAAGTCCCAGAACATAAAGTTCCTAAAGTAGAATCTTGAAGTACTTACCTCAGGCTTTTTGCTGCCTGCACTAAGAGAAAGATGGTGTTTATTTCATTCCACAGGATTAGCAGATGAATCTTACTTAAGAATTTAAGAAGAGACAAATTGAGGCTGTTGTACTTTGGCCATATCATGAGAAAGCATGACTCATCAGAAAAGACAATATAAAATCAACTTATTTGAGATATGGTGCTGGAGAAGAGTGCTGAGGATACCATGGACAGCCAAAAAGACAAACAAATACATCCTATAACAAATGAAGTCGGAACTATAACAGATGAAGTCCTGGAAGCCAAGATGACTAAATTGAGCTTGTCATACTTTGGACACACCATGAGAAGGAAAGACTCATTAGGAAAGGCAATAATGCTAGGAAAGGTTGAAGGCAGTAGAAAGAGAGGAAGACTGCACACTAGATAGATAGACTCAATTAGGGAGGTCACAGGCCTGAATCTAAGCAGATCAGTAGAGGATGAGGGGCTTGGAGCTGTCGCATCCACAAGGGTCACCATGAGTTAAGGTCAGTTTGAGGTTAGCTAACAATAACAACAACATGTGGCATTAGGCCAAGGGTTTATATAGCCCAACATTCTCTGCACATAGTAATGGGTAGATTGCCTATGGAAAGCCTACCAGCAGGACATGAGTGCAGCTGCACCCTCTACTATCTTGAACTGAGAATCAGAATCACTTGGAATCAAACAGCATCGTCCATTGTATTTGTGGGCAGCAATTTAGTTTTAAAAGTTGCATGCCACGCCATGTGATCCACACAGATCTATTTTCCAATACTTCACCAACACTTCCTTCCATCTTCATCTTGTCACTGCATGTTGACCTCAGTCATTCACACAGCTGGAAGTGATCAAGGACCATCTAATCCAACTCCCTGCCAGTGCAGTAACCCATTGATAAAGCTTCTCTGAGACGTGATCATCCAACCTCTGTTTAATCACCTCCAATGAAGGACTGTCCACTAAGGAAGTCTATGCTACTATCAAACAGCTCTTACTGTCAGAAGATCTTCCCAATATTTAGTTGGAATATATTTTCTTCTAATTTGAATCCATTAGTTTGGGCTCTATGTCATGGAACAGCAAAGAACAAGCTTGACCCATCTTTCACCTGCCAGCCCTTCAGCTATTTAAAAATGGCTATCATATTGCCTAAAAAAGCTCTATGAAATTCATGGGATCATTATAAATCAACAAGTGACGCACGCACACACACCATATCACTTTCCAGTCTTCTTTGCTCCAGGTTACATATACCAAACTCCATCACCTCAGAGAGCTTAGTTTCCAGACCCATTACCATTTTGCTTGCCCTTCTCTCAACATGTTCCACATGGTCAGTGTCTTTCTTATTCTCTGATGCCCACAACTGGACACTGGTGGACTCCAGATGAGGTCTGACCAAAGTAGAATAAACCTATGAGAACAGAGCCAGCAAAGTATAGTAGTTAGAGCACTGGACTATGGCTCTGGAGACCAGGGTTCCAACTGCTGCTTAGCCATGGAAACCTACTGGGTGATCTTACACAAGTCACACTCTCTCCTGCTGCAGGATCTCAGTCTCTATATCTTGTGCTCCTTGTGATATTAGAGTGCATAAATACTATAAATCGCAACTTGATGGAAGATTATGATTCCCCCCAAACAGCTAGAAATAGCAAGAAGAGAAAGACATTTTTTTTTTTAAAAAAGAGAGAAATAATGTACAAGCAAAATTATTATAAGCTTTATGAAGGTGGTGGGGAAGGCAGAGAAAGGTCAGCAGTTGAACCTTAATACCATTTTACAGTGTCAGCAAAATGACATGCCTGAAATAAAAATAACAAAGCTAACAGACTGAGGGGGGTTGCAGACTGCCAGAAATAGTGCAAATTGAATCCACTTTTAAGGTTAGGGTTAGTGCTATGGCACCATGGGAATTGTTTTTTTTTCTGAGTCATTAAACCTTCTCTGTTAGAGAGCTCTGGTGCTACAATAAAATACAGTTCCCATGATTCCCTAACCCTAACCCTAACCCTAAAAGTGAACTCAATTTGCACTATTTCTGGCAGTCTGCAGCACCCCTGAAGGAATTAAAAAGGGAAAGATCAATAGTTTAAAAAGAGA